AATTTGTTGTTTGTATATATTGCGTTTTCAGCTTCCACAGTCCACACTCAGCCAAGTCTCCTCAATGCACAGCACTAATAATGAAATATTCAAGGTGTGTGAATATGCACTGCCTGCCTTTTGCTGTCTTAGTTAATTATTTACTTTACCAGCTCAGAACTAGGGACTGGAATGTTTTCAGTTTTAAGTCTCAAGTCAAATCCAGTATTTAGTGAGTCAGGAGGTAAAATAAAGGAAAAATAACAAGAAATCTATGATTTGAAAATAGTGAAGACAGACATGAGGGGTCACTGAATGGTTTGATGAGAATAATAACAATTATAACAATATACTAATAATCAAATTGCTCAGTTTTACACCTAATGGGAGCTTTGAGATCAAGGTGTTTGACAAATCCACTTCACCACCATCAGAAAAATGTTTGATATATCTTTCAGAAAAATGGTGTGAAATGATGTAATTGAGTTCAAGAAACTGAATCAGAGTTGTAGTCAAGGAGCATTGAAGCTGCTCTGGAGGCTCATGGTGGCCCATAACACTTCACCTTGATATTTCTTGAAAGTTGTCACTCTGTTAATCAATCCTTACCACTGTTGTGGTAACGTTTCAAGTCCTTAGTTTTGTGACCTAGAGTCTCTGGCCCACACAGAAAGAGACACAGATGAAAAATAAAGATATCATGTAGTTCTAATTGTACTCTGTATAATACTGAATCCATCTGCTTGTGTTACAGGGGATGTATATCAAATCGACATATGACGGACTCCACGTCATCACCGGAACCACAGAGAATGTGAGTTTTTGTTTCAGTCAGTCGGAAGCTCGACACTCGACCGACCACAATTCAGGGTCTCAAATTTCCAATATGTCAATGAATGTACGAGTCAGCATCTCCTAAATGTGCTGCCATTGTCCTCAAATCTCTGCCTCTGCAGTCTCCAGCCGACCAGTGTAAGAAGATCCACGCAGGGGATGAGGTGATCCAAGTCAACCACCAGACAGTGGTGAGTTAAACAGCTGCCAGGAGTAACACCATTGTCATGGAGAATCACAGGAAATGTTCTCCATTCTGTGTTATGTTGAGGAACTGTCAAGGTACATGATGTCTGACTGCTACCACCACCACTGCCGCCGTGGTGCTTCCTGTCCTGGGCCTGTGTCAGTATGTAGGCTAATTAGGCCTTCGCTGTGGGAGCAGATTATAGAAACGATTGTGACAAGACCTTTGTTCCGTCCACCATGATTGTCAGCGAACTCTTTCTGGAATTTGTTTCCACTGTCGAAAAAGAAAACCCCTGAAGGAGGCGTCTGGTTTGAAATGTGAACTCATGTTCCACTTTCAGACTTGAATAAGTTGTGCTTCTTCCTTCAACTCGTCACATCAGAGGCGCACAAAAAAAAAATTGGGCAGCAATTTTAAATGGAACGGTGGGTTCTGAGAGCATGTGACTGAGCGCATTGTGCTGTCAGCTCTGGCACAAACAATTTGTTTCAGCGTTTCATTTTTTTGAGATTTCCTAGCTGTGGGAAAAAAGGTTTGTGTCTGTGTGTAGTCGTCTCCTGTGTGCTTTTCCCGTAAGTATTTCCTCGTACGTCTCGATAGGTGCTGCTCATGTGAAAGCGTGCGATGCAGGCACCGGAGAGTGTTGTTGATTGACGCATGAGGAAGCTGCGTGTTATCTCTGTCCCCCTCTCTCTCTCCCTCCATGAAGTGACGGTGCAGATCACACCCCTGCCAGGCTCACAGCTCCAACCCCTCATTACTCCCTCAGCTAGATCCTCACCACTCTGATCCCTCACTCTGGGGGAGGAGATAAGCATGGGGGAGACGAAGGTGTGTGAGTGTGTCTCTTGATGGGGAAAGGGGTGTAAAGCAGTCAGGGGATGCTGAGATGAGGCAGAGCTGGGAGAGGAGGAGGAAGTAAAGAGGGACTTGGGGAAAAGAGGAAGAGGATGAAAAGAAAAGGAAGGAGAACAGCAGAAGTCAGTACAGTTTTGTCTTCCGATCTTAAATACAGCTTGAGGAAAGATGGATGTACTGTAGGCTACTCTCCTTCAAGTGATAAGTTTATCTTTACATTTAAAATTAGATTAGTGTGGATATTGACTTAACAAATTCCATTATATCATAGAAACATTATGTAGCCCTATCCCACATATTTAGCAACAGCGCTGTCCTCATGTCTATGCATGAGCTTCTGTTTGAGGCTCACTTCAAAAACAGGACTCGCAGTTTTTAGCTTCTCTATTGAGGCAAAATGTGGAATTTGCTCAAATAACAAACTGATTGTTTGAAGAGGCAACATAATTATGCGAAGGTAATAGCATCTGGGAAAATAATGAAGACCCCTGGGATAAAAGAAAAAAACCCTCTCCAGCAGCAGTTTATGCTCTATTATTACTTTGGTAGGTCTCTGTTCTCTTAGCTCTCTTCACTTTTGCATAACAGAACAGCTTTAAACCATCCTGGTCAGGTCAGGCTTTGTGTTTGCTGATGCACTCGGCACCTGCAGCCCACTATTGTGCTGGATCAAAAACAAGGGCTGAGGAGTTTTGATCGGGACCCAGTTTGGTTCAAGTTCAGTTCAGTTAATTCTGGCTTTTCCTTTGGGATGAAAATGTCCAACACTTTTAGAAGTAAATACCAGAGCCAATACAATACCTTATGTAATCTCAAATATCCAAGCCCATTATACATGTTTCTACTTTTTGCAGTGCATCCACCTGTCTTAATATTAATGGATACTCACAAATCCAGTGGAAAGCTTCTTCCAGCTCTTCAAATAGACTGCAATACCATTTATTTTACACAACTTTAACATATGTGCCAAAATGGTAAATAGTCTGTATTTATACAGCAGCTTTTCTAGTATTGATGACCACTCAAAGTGCTTTACACATTCACAGCATGCTCTATGTGCAGCACTTTCTCTATAACACATCACACACAGCTGGCTCAGCCGTCTGGGGCCATTTGGGGTTCAGTATCTTGCCTAAGGACCTTTCAGCACTTTGAATGGGGGGGGGGGAATTGAACTTCTGACTTGACAGTGGATGACCTGCTCTATCTCCTGAGCCACAGCTGCCCAAAAGCAAATACCTTTGTGCCAAAAGCAATGAATCTAAAAGAAAGTAGACCAAATGGTCAAAAAAGCTGCATCAAGCTGAACTAACAATGAGGCTACAACCTGTCTTCAATAACTGCTTAATAACACATTTCTATACATTACAGTGCTAGCAGGTGGGATTGAATAATTATGACCTTGTAAGTTAGCCACATTATAAATCTCCTTACAAAAAAGTAAGTATTAGATTTCAAAGAGCAAACATATTTAACAATTATGTGAGAATTAACCTTAAATTAACCAAAAGAAATTTCATTTTGCAAAAGAAACAAAAATTCTTAAATGTTGAAGCTGCACTGATCAACATTCATACATTAGCGAATAGATACAATTTCATCAAATAATAGATAAACACATCTTTATTTGTCTCTGCAGCAGTGAATGAGTATTGAGAGTTTGAAATCAATAAATCAGATCACAAATTATTGATCGTAGCACCAGTAAGTCCTAGGTTGTCCTGGTATACCTCCTTTCTTTAAGAGGGCAACAGGCCAGGACATGTCAACAGAAACCTCCTGTCCCTTGTGGCTGATGATCAGTAGCTGAACTCAGAACTGTGAAGTGGGCCAAAAAGAACAAGAAATGGGACACTTGGCTGACACAGGCTGGTCATCATTATGTCATGAATAAGGTCAGAGCAGTGTGTGTGTGTGTGTGGCCTCTGCGGACACTTCCAGTAGCTGTAGCCAATCAATGGCCTGACGAGTGCTGCGAGCTCTGGAGACGGGCTGTCCACAACCGCGAGAAAACTGCCGTCAGCACTTCTTTCTGACTCTTTCCCCATCGCTTCCGCTTCCTTAGAGCATAAACATACTGAGAGAGATGTTTTTTATTTGAATATGTCAGTGTTTTCTGAACACTGGTACGGGGACAACATGGTGACAACAAAGTTTGGTAGATGAAGACTATGGATTTGAATCACCACACTCCAGCTGCCAGCTGCCTTGTGGGAGAAATATATTCACATTTCGCAGGCTTGCACAAATTTTATTGTGTTATACAGGGCACTGTGTCTAATACAATTTATATCAATAAGCTCACACTGTAAAAAACTCAGATCAACATTACCCCAAAACAAAGCCTCACAATTTAATAATTATCTCTTGTTAAATAAATGGAGATATGATCAGAAGTGATGTTTAACTTCAGTCAGAGGCTTAAAATAAACTGACGACTAATTGTATGAGGGATTAGCATTAAATCTGAGTTTTGAGGCTAATTATAAAGAAATGTTATTGCATGAAAAAAAAACTTTCTATGGGCTCCAATTACTATGAACCAAATTTGCAGACAAAAATGGTCTGTACAGATGTATTAAGTGACAAATCTTCATTAAAAGCAACTAGACCTTCTATTTTGTTGACTTGTGTATACTTCAACAATGTTGAAACCCACAGAAATGTGGCATTTGATGTTTTGGGAAGTTAGCATCAAAACTGGGTGATTAATATTAAAGCATATAATATTGGATGCTCCCAGTGCATGGTTTACAGTGTGTGTGGTTTGCAGCAGCTGTTTTCAGTAGCCCTGTGTGTCTGTGTGTTCGCTCCTCAGGTGGGCTGGCAGCTGAAGAACCTTGTGAACGCTCTGAGAGAGGACCCGTGCGGAGTCATCCTCACGCTGAAGAAACGGCCCCAGAACACTCTAAGCTCCACCCCGGCTTTGCTCAGGAACGTCCGCTGGAAACCACTGGGCCTGCAGGTAAATGCCAGCAACACATGGATGTCCTCACTCGCTCTACCAATCCACATCTATACCTGCACACTTTTTGTACTTACAGTCAGTATATTTTGAGATTATTTTTGACTCACATTTAGCCCTTGTTTTTATCACCCGCTCTCTGCATTCTCCGACAAGCATTTTAAACAAATATTTTCATGGGTAACGTGTTCAGTGTTTGACCTTGCATCAGTCCTCCTGTTGAGAGTTTCAACAAATCTCTTGGTTTTACAGCCTGTTGTACGGCTGACAGTCTCCAAAGCCATTCACAAATGTGCTGGTTCTTAAATCTCATTCAAGATAAAGGTCATTCAAAATTGAAGTATAAAATGAGAAAGAGAGCTAATTAAATCCTACATCCGTACTTAAGAGGCATGTGAATTATTCAAATGGTATAATATGACTTGAACGTCCTGATTAGGGTCTGGTCAAGGTCACCAAAGAGTCATGCTCTTACTCACATCCACCCATATCTTTACTGAGACCTTGGTCCCAATTCTCTCAACCGTTGTCCCAAAGGACATCTGTCTTTCAAAAGAGGGTAAATTTTTAATGTTTAGTCCAGTAAATCTAAAAAGGCTCAGATCTGCTGTACATATCTTACTTTACAACAAATACTTTTCAAATCTGTCTCATTCAGAGGCCAGAAAACAAACACATTTTGGTGCGAAAGAACAATTCAGGCCAAGACGTACAGCGGGTTGAGGCAAGGGCTGCTCTAAAGCTGCCTGCATGCTTTGTGAAGCAGCTTCTCTCTTGTCAGACCCTTGTTCTCCATGGGTGCTATTTTTAGCCCAGCATCAGGTCTAATTCATTTACATGCTACATGCATGCTCTGATCTCTGTTCAGCGCTCAGCTTTCATCGTCCATCTTTTATCCTCCATTGTTTGCTCCAGCATGCCTCTTCTTTGTTCTTGTCAAGCTACTGTCATTTCAGTTTCTGTGTGTTTAAATGTCTGAAAGCATATAAATCCAATATTTAGCGATATACATTTGAGTATATAATCATGTGAGACAGGGCAACAGATTCAGCTTGTGGATGGGGTTTCTATAGTGACCTAGAAACCAATATAACCCCGTAATAACCACAGAGTCTAATACAACTTAACCAGCATATCTGTAGGACTATTCTTGTTTCCAGTTTGCTGTCTTGTCAGACCATCACTCTCAAGTTATTTTCATGAGTTTATTGTAATATTTGCTGCACACAACAATAGTGGATTGTGGAAATTCTCCCCTGATGATGTTCTCAGACACAAACGTGTCATTATTGCCAAGATCAGAGTGCTGAAATATTTGTGGGAGAATAGAATAAAAGAGTGTTTTAGATTTGTTCTCTCTCTCCAAAAGACTGGAGCCCTTAATTATTCATAAGCAACTACAGGCAGCTCCACTGGCTCTGAAACAAGAACCGCTACTCAGCAAATACTGGAGATAATTCACTGAATCCAAAATATCCTGCTAAACAGCCTGTGTGTGTGTGTGTGTGTTTGTGTGTCTGTGTGCGCGCACACAATGATTTCTTATGCATGTTTAAATGTTTCGTATGCATGTTTTTGCACATGTGCACAGAGATGTTTTCCCATCATCAGTCCCGTTGCTCCTTTAGAGACAAAGGAACTGGGTCACTGCACTCTGGTCTTGGATACATACTGTATAAACACACCGAAACATACAGACACACACACACACACACACTCCAAAAACAAACACAAACATGAACACATGCACTCTCAAACCTCTAAGCCTGCTTTTGGAGGATGAATTGCACGGCTGTGAAGTTTAGCCTGAATGTGGCAAACGTTCAGCTGGATTATAAAACAATCCACAAAGGAAACAATTTATCTCTGCAAATTATCATGTGATTCCAGCCTCAAATCCCTGCATAGCAACCTTTTTATACTCTCTCTCTCGCTCTGTGTGTGTGTGTGTGAGAGTGTGTGTGCCTGTGAATTTACACGTGTGTCTGTTTCATCCTGGGTAGGGTGCAGAAAAAGCAATTTAATGATGCACTGTAATAACATTGACACAGACAATTATTTTAACAATAACGAGGATTACTGTGACAATACATATCGCATGTATGCCAGCTGCGTTGTTGCAACATTTGCATGCAGGAAGTTCTTGTGTGGCCACATCAACGTCCACGTTACAGGTCACTTCACCGATCACACGTGTGCCACTTATTGTCTGTGTGCCCCCTTTCATAAATATGTTATGTGTTTAAACATATAAATTATTACTCTCTGTAAACACTTGCTGTTTTTGGTAACATTGTGTATAATGGCCATTTGTATATTATTGATGGACCAGCTGAATGGGTAAAATGGGGAGTAGCTGCTTTAACATCTTTCTTTGAGTACATTCATTCTCGCCTATTTTCCTGTTTTAGGTAGAGTTTAGACACAATAACACATAATGCAAATTATACTTTCTGCTATCCTTTCAGAGACAATCTGTATCATGATAAATGACTTGCACTTTCCAAGTCATAACAAAATTCTTTGCAATGGCAGAAAAATTAAACAGACAAATCATAAAAGCCACAGTTTTAAAAATGAAAGAAATGCATTAAAACCTTTACGCTATCTGAAAACAAAAATAGGCCATTTCAAACTTAAATAAAATCTGGGTAGGCTTTCTGATTAAAGTATATCTTAAGAAAGAATTCAAAGACACCAGACTCAGTAGTAGTAGAGCTCTATATCTGTACTATTATACAGTAAATGTAATAGTAGATGTCATAACAACTGCTGGCAAAACAATCTCACCTGAAGATCTGTTTAGTAACTGTTCTTCAATTTTTGATCATACCCCATGATCTTCATCAGCAGTTGGAATTTGAAGCTCAACTTTTCGACCAAAATGGATGATAAGCTCTTGAATTGCTCAGAAAGTAATATGACACTTTTTGTAATATGACAAAAAGCTTGATAACAGCTGCATGGAACTTCAGGTGGGATGTTTGTGATTTCCAAGGTCCAGAAGGATAAAAATACAGAAACTTATTTTAAAGGAATGGTTTGGCAGTTTGAGAAACATGTAAGTTGATGTGCCAGATGGTTTTGTGTAGCAATCCATCTGGAGTATTTGGAAAAAGTGTTTGGAGAAAGGCAGGTGCTTTCAAGAGAACACTTTGTGGTGATTGGATAAACCTGTCACCATCTATCACTGTTGCAGAGAGCAAAATCATCTTTTCCATCTAGAAAATGTTGTTCTTTGCTCGTCCCTCAGTGAAGAAATACTCTCCAATCCTGATTTAACTGATGCTTTAGCAGCATATACACTAATCACTTAAGGAGCTGCCATTGTTGTTGAAGAACAGCTTCACTGAGTCAACACACCCAAGACGTGCTTATAAAGCTGCAAGGTGTTTCTGCCTCATACACTGATTGATCCGAACCACTGTGGGCCAGCCAATAGCATGCTGTGTGGAAAGATGGATTCCTGCTTGCAAAAGATCCAGCTTCCTTTTAAAGTTTGGAGATACTGTATATGTATTTCCTTTTATGCTGAGATTCAGACGAGAAGAAAATGTCTTTCTAACATCTGCACAGCAAATTCCAAGCTACATTCTCCAGCCTATAAACTTGCTTCAGCATACAAATTGGAAACAAGCGAAAACAAGTAGCCAGACGGCATCAGTGACTGCTCCCAGTGAGGATATTTGGATTTTTTTTCAGTTTAAACACTTTCTTCCACAGATTGAACAAACAAGATAATACATGTCAAATGTGAGGTGCTGGTTGGGTCAAGCTAAAAGTCAAGCCAGCTGTTTCCTCCTGTTTCTAGTCTTTGTGCTCAGCAGAGCTAACTGCGGCTTTTTTATACATAGAGAGTCAGTAAGAGATTCCACAGTGTTGTTGGTTCAAATAGTCTGTATATCATAATGGATGACATGAGTCCTCCTCAAAAGTGAAGCCAAAGCATATAAATGGCCCCCTGGTGGCTGGCTGCAGTATAGATTAGAAACCCCACCTCCTCCATGTAAGTAAATGGAATATGGACGTAGATATTAAATACATTTTTCTCAAAGATGGTTTGTCATTTTAGGTGTTCATTTTCCTGGTAGGTTTGGTAGATTGTCAGCTGAAACTGATTCGAGCTAGTGTATTGGTGGGACCTTGACCACAGCATCCCTTAATTGCTACTGTGGGTTCAAGATGGCAGCAATTGTATCCTTGACATTTTGGTTCATCTCTGGATAGAGGAGGCGTGGCGTCCATCTTGATATACAGTCTATGGTGATTAATTAAATTCAGTTTAACATCCAGAGTGTCTGCATTTGTGCATGAAAAGGTAGTGGAATGGGTACCATTAGTCTGGGTGGATTTCTTGGTAGTCTAGAGTGGGCGCAACAGGGGTCAAATGCTTTAAGTGCTTTTTTAACAGAGTGGAATTTTGCCTGCTGTGGAAGCCCCCACACTCACCCCCCCTTTTCCATGCAGACAGCAGTGGGCTGTAATCACTAAATTACTGTTTTCAGTCTCAGCTCCAATCACCACACTGCACAGCTCCCCATCCTCACCCTCTCCCCCCCGCCATATTGCACTGTTTCCCCCAGTCTCTCTCTTTCTCCCTTTCTTTATCCTGTTTCCTTTGCTCTCTCCTCTCTGTCGCCTGCATCCCTCTTTTTCTGCCCGGTCTCCATTATTTATTGTGAAGCCGTCTTACTGTAAGCTGCCTTCATGAGAAGAAGGCTGAGCGACATAAAGAGATGATGATAGAGACAGGACCTGGGGATGGTGGTAGCGAGGGTGAGAGGGGGAGGAGGAGAGAAAGTTTGGAACATGAAATGAATTCCACTAATGCGCTGTTGATGAAACGATGAAACATTGGTCTTCCTTAATGAGAACGCTGCCTGCCTCGCCGTCGTTCGGGCTCTGCGTCTGTTTATCCATTCTGTCCACACTTGACATCTCGTCATGCAAATTAAGTGTACTCCTCAGACATACAGTAAAACACTTCATTTTTCAAATTCTGGGAAACCTCGTCCTCAGGGAGAAAAGAAAGGGAGAAGGGAGAAACTGTCAGCATGAGCTACATATTTGTCACCCCAGCTGTTCCGACTGAGGATAAATATAAGTCGTTTGAAATTTGGAGCTTGAGTTTCCATGACATCAGAAGCGAGGTGCCCTGTCCTCACGGAGGACCCGATGACAAACGTATCTACGTGTCCTTGAGTCAAGCCAATGCAGAAGGCCTTGCTACATCTGTCCTCTCCTCTCTCTTGTAGGGGGGTGGGGGTTAGCGTTAAGGAGAGAGGAATAGCGAGGAGAGGAGGGGAGAGGAAGGGTTGTCATGGGAACAGACATGGAGAGCCCTGTGTGAGTGAGGAGGCTTGAGACAAAATGACAGAACAGTGAAGCAATTGAATGTGGGAGAAGCTGCACAGTCAGAAATATAGAGAAAAAAGACAACAAACATGTCAGCTCTGTAGAAATAATAATTTTTTGTGATATTTAGACAAGTAGCTGCAGTAAAAGAAGGATATGACAAATATCTCTTCTAAGATTCTCTCGTAAATGATGCGCTTGCTTGTTAAGTTGAGATCCCATCATCACACTCCAATCATACCTCAATGAGAAAGTGCTGAAACAAATTATGAATTAATTCTCTATTTTTCTCTCTCCAGCCGGTCCCCACCAGCCCCACCAGCACCTCCCCAACACCCGGTGGAACTTTAGGCATGTCCAAAATGGACGCCCCCAGCATGCAGGACGTATACATCCTTTCTCCTGTCTCTGGACTCTACAGCACCAGGTCAGACGCTTGCAGACACATGCATGTTTGATGATAATCACTGTGATGATCTTTGGTTATTATGATCTAGCTGATGACACTGACAATGGCGCTGATGACAGTAATGATCACAGCTCTGCTTCCCCCAGGGAGGAGATGGGTCTGATGTCATGTGACGACATCAGCCGCTACAGTGTGAGCTCCCAGTCTGGCTCCAAAGGTTCAGAGGCAGTCAGCTACTACCTGGACCAGGACAGTGGTCAGTACTTCTCCTTATTAGAGGGAGACGGACCCCCAGGGCCTGACTACGACAGGGTCCGAAATACAGGGGTTCGACGGCGGGACAAGACCCCCACCCATGGTAAGATGGCGAGTGCAAACGAACAGTATGGATGAAGCAGAACTGGCACTCACTTTGAGAGTTGTTGAAGCACAGCTTCCTTTCACTGTTTTTGTCTCATCTTTAACTCAACACTCCTCCTTATGTGTTCATCACTCACTTCATGGCTCTGCTTTTTTGTGTTTTTTTACTCGCGTGCACATGTTTGAAAAACACTAATCACATGCCAAAGGGTCAGTCCAAGAACACTGTCTCCAGCCCCCTTTCTGCCCCCCACCTGTGTCCACCCTTGTCTCAGAGAGATTCCTATACATCCTGCACCTTCCAGGAAAAGCTTGACAAACTGCTGTGATGGCAGAGGTGAGGGTCACATGTCAGCTGAGAGCATCAGAAGCTTAGTTTACAATAGCTGTGCTTGCTATATGAGTCTATCAAGGTAATCAGAGACATTTGAAATTTACACTAAAGGGGAAAAAAGCAGTATAACCTCCTGCTCTTGGTGTTGACTGGACATTGAGACTGATTTGATCAATCTGTTAAAGCTGCACTACTTATTGTTAAATTGATAATGTATCATATTATTATATTTATCATGAAAGGTGTGAAGATAATTTTAATCCAACTTCCCTCCAACCATGCTGAGCAATTCTTCGACTTCTAGCTCATAGTTTTTTGTTTCACACTCACGAAGCATTGTTTCCAGCCAAAGAAGGAAACAGCTGTATTAGGCAAATTGGTAAACCAACTGTAAATTACCTGGCGAGCACCAAATTGCAAAGGTTAACCACGACGTGGTTTCTGGCATTGGCAGAGACAAAAACAGAGCTAAAAGGAGAGTAAATATTGGACTTGCCAGAAACAAGACAGGTACAGATAGTGTAAATATGAATATTATTTTGTAATAATTGCTTGTCTCTTCAACTTAAACTTTTGATACATGTCACTGTCTCAGTGGCTTTATGTAGTGTTGTTCTACCCATAGACTGTATGGTTCTACCACAGAACATTTCTTTTCTGTGTGGATGTGTTCTCCAATAAAGGAATTCTTTTTAAATCTGAGAATACCTGAACCAAACTGCTGTTATCGGAGTTAAAAACAACTTAAAATGTAGAAACACACAGCTTTGAGTAGCTCACCTCCTAACAGTAAACATAGTACCTAGGTAGCACATTATCAGTGGTTGCTATTATTATTATACTACTACTATTATTATAATGTAATAATTTATTGTATTTTCAACTTTGATGCATTCTCAGGTCAAATCTGCTGTTTGGTTGTACCACAGCTCTGTGTTGCTCGCCAAGTGTTCTTCAGCTAGCAGTAAACATGCTAACAGACAAGCACACTGCAGTGAAGTTTACTCATGTGGCCATGTGGTCTTTGCCTCACGCTGTGATGCAGTTCCTCGAGACTCTTCCAATCCTTCCCCCCTCACTTGCACACACTCTGTCTCACCTGTCCAACCCCTCCAGTTGTCTCCCACGCTGTCTCACAGTCACTTGCCGTCCTGAGACACCACTCCACCACTCCCCCCCTCCCCCCACAGCCGACTCTCTGATTGCTGATTGGTCGTTCCAGGTGACCTCAGACCAGTGTCCATGCCTCCCGAATATAACTGGATGGCCGAGGCCAAGGAACCCAGCATGGGCAAGAGAGGGAGCCGAGGTACACACACACACAAACACATACAGCACACAAGAAGAAACGCAGGCCCTCACACACTTGACACAAACGGGTCAGACAGGTGCTGCGCTTTGCTCCATACTCAGCTCAACACATTTCAGCTCATCCTCTGGTTATTCATGGTTCTGTGGTTGTGTGAGGATACATATCTGTCAAGTATGTATCTGACAGAGCGACAAATAAACATAAATGCAAGGAAATTGCATTTATACAGCTGCTCTGGAAATGAGGGTACTTCGATGTGACCAGTTCTAACCAGCTTCACCATTTTGCGGCAAGACTCGATCTGTATTCAAACGAGGATCCTCCACTCTACCATCAGAAAGTCTATGAATAACATTAAAGCACAATACTCCTTTCGGGGGTCTGCTTCTCTCCTTCTCTTTCTTTCTTTTTCAATTTTTCACATTAAAGTAAATGCATAATAAACAAATAAGGTGGGGTGCTTTTTTGGATCTGTAGTTTAATCAGGATAAAACTTTCAAAGTGTGACAATATTTAGCAGTTGTGCCCTCCAAATCAGGATAATCACTGCAAACAGATAAGCCGTATGTCCCCGGCTGTGGATCCATATCAGAGGCTCTGAAGCACTTTTATCCCTTTCTGTTGGGTTTTTATCTCTAAGGGTCTATTCACCCTCATCTGTTTCTACTCTGGGGTTCTCCCTCGACTCTAGGATGATATCTCCACCCCCTCTGTGGTTTACCTCTCTCTGTCAACGGTTCTGTTTAGCCTGTCCGTTCTTTTAAAGTGCTCCACCCTTCCTCCATTTCCCCACAGATTCAGACAACTCCCTGCTGCGTTACCTTAGCGATGACAAGATCCTGGTGATCGAGGAGGAGCCTGAGAGTCAGAGTAGGGAGAGCCGGCGGGATTCCACCAGACGCTCTCGGCGCAAGAGCCGCAATCCCAGCAGCCCCAGCTTTCCCATCAGTCCCTCCATGCTGTCCTCCACCCTGCGCCTCGACCAGCCTCCTGAAGCTTTGCCTGTATGTACACAGTTGCTTCCAGCTTGTTTCAGTAGAAGTGCACTCCAGTGTCCCTGGGGGGATATTTGGCTTCCAGACAGCAGTAAACAAATAATCATTCAATCAAATCCCTCATCTGCTCCTGGGTTATATTTAGTTATAACTGTGTTTATATGTCTAATGCCGGATGTTAGCCATTTATCAGTTCATCATCATGGAAAATATATTTTATGGTCAGTTCTGTTCATTGGGCAGTAAAGAAAAACAGCTTCTTTTCATTTGTGAACAGATTAATGTGGTCTGTGCTGAGGAGTGTGCCTGGTTATAGTTGATTTGTGTTCACACAGATAGAGGCATGCCTGCATATGTTATGTTAAAGTACGCTAATACTCTATATTTGTCTTTTTGTCATTAAATCTTATTAAAACATCAACAAAACATTTATGCTACTTATTAGGTGTGTAGTCGAGTATGAGTTATTTCAGTTAAATCAGTTTTAGCTGCTAAAATAGTTGATGATTTTTTGTTGTTGTTGTTGTTTGTGTCATGTAGACATTAATTACTACTTTATTTACTTCCTGGATTTGTAAACAAGGTTCCAAATCTGATTCTGAAACTTCAGTACCAACCTCTTTTAAACATTTCAGAACTTTATTTTAATGTTTTTGTTTAGTTTTATCTCTTGCTCACAAAGAAAAAGTAGCAAACCTAAAGTAAATAGCTATGGAAGAGTTACAATAACAGTATAGTGAGTGACAATGAACAATTTACAAATAGCAATGAAAGAAAAATTGTACAAAACTCAATAATTGAACTCTTCATGTGGGATCCTATTTAATGATTTACATCTATAGGACTGAAAGGACATGAGGGTGGTTCTGGTCAGAATGAAAATCTGTATTTTCTTTAACGTCCCTACTGAACAAATTGTTTTTGAAAAAACGAAACAAATTTTTGGTATAGACGTGGACAGTCAAGTATTGAGAGACAGACATCACATCATTAATGTTTTTAAAAAATGTTATGGTAATGATAATAATCATTTAAAGGTAACTTAAAAATCTGCACACTATCAAACTCTCAGCATATGTACAAAACATTCCGAGCCAAATTCTTTCTGCAATTAACAAGCATTGAATTGATTAGTCTACAAAATGGACTTAATATTGATATTCATAAAAAAACATATCGCTGACAAACCTTGATAGAAACTATTGGGTGTGAGGGCTTTTAAAGTTGGAATACCAAAGCCATTTGGATGATTAGAAGAACTAAAAATAATTACAGAATTTTTAAAAGTATCAAGGGCAAAGTGTATTTTTATTGTTTCGAAGGCCATATTTTGCTTTTGATATTTCTTTTCCACAAAGGACATTTTGACATGTCGCAGTAGGAAATGTGCAGTAGTAACTAGAAAAATTAACTTCTATTTTTAATATTTACACCTGTGCTTTTCCTACAGTGACATGTCAAAATGTCTTCTATAAAAAATGTTTATTAGTGGCAGTAAAATCACTTTCAAGGCTTTAATCCAGATTGTGTCGCTAATGTCCCTTTCACAACTTTTCTCATGTCACAGTCGGTGTCTTTCTCCTTTTAGAATGGCATGTTGGTGGTTGTAAGACAGGGCATGATGTTCACATGTGTATATGTGTGTGTCTGTTTGTGTCAGGTAGAGGAGACAAAGGAGAGAGAGAATGAGAAGTGTTATTGCATGACTGCCGGAATCACACATTATGAGAATGACAGTGACACGCTCGGTTCAAACACACCCCTCTGTAACTTTGCGGTCTCTCTCATGCACACACACTCATATTTACACACACACACAAACACACACAGAGAGGCATGCACAAACAAACACACACTAGCACAGAGGAGTGCATTTGTATACAGGGTAGCCATCTCACGGCTCATCCTAACTCATCCTAATATCCCCGTCTCTCTCGACACGCCTGAGCCTAACTAGGAATTTATTCCGAACAAACACACATTTGCACACACACATACACTACCACGTATTCCTGTGAGTAGGTGTATGACTCAGCATCAGCCAGACCAATTACAAGCACGACTGACGGACTGTGTACCACACGATGCACACAAGCACACACGTTCACAGCTCAGCTCACACCATCTCTCTCTGGCCCTCCCAGCTGCGTGTCTCTCATGGTGGTGACTCATATCTTTTCACATGAAGTATACTATCCTGCACTAACAAGCATATGCTACCCTTAATGACCTGCTGGTTTCCTCTTTCTCCTTCTCTCGGTATGATTCTTTTCCATAAAGGCAAAATATTTTGTTATGTTTCATGTGTCCAGCATTTGTGTATTTTACTAGAGTGCAATACAATATACAGCCCACACACTTACATGTGAAATATGAAGCACACACATCACCGGCCACTTTATTAGGTATACCTTGCTAGTACTGGGTTGGACCCCCTTTTACCTTCAGAACTGTCTTAATTCTTCGTAGCATAGATTCAACAAGGTGTTGGAAATATTCCTCAGAGATTTTGGTCCATGTTGACATCATAGCATCATGCTGTTGCTGCCGATTTGTCGGCTGCACATCCATGACGCGAATCTCCCGTTCCACCACATCCCAAAGGTGCGCTATTGGATTGAGATCTGGTGACTGTGGAGGCCATTGGAGTACAGTGAACTCATTGTCATGGTCAAGAAACCATTTTGAGATGATGTCAGCTTTGTGACATGGTGCATTATCCTACTGGAAGTAGCCACCAGATGATGGGTACACTGTGGTCATAAAGGGATGGAACTGGTCAGCAACAATACTCAGGTAGGCCGCGGCGTTTAAACGGTGCTCAATTGGTACTAAGGGGCATTTTCGTCCACGCAACTGCCGCTCACTGGATATTTTCTCTTTTTCTGACCATTCTCTGTAAACCCTAGAGATGGTTGTGCGTGAAAATCCCAGTAGATCAGCAGTTTTTTGAAATGCTCAGACCAGCCCGTCTGGCACCAACAACCATGCCACATTCAAAGTCACTTAAATCCCCTTTCTTCCCCATTCTGATGCTCGGTTAGAACTTCAGCAAGTCGTCTTCACCACGTCCAGATGCCTAAATGCATTGAGTTGCTGATTTGTGTTAACAAGCAATTGAACAGGTGTGCCTAATAAAGTGGCCAGTGAGTGTATATATATAAAACAAATCAGATATGTTGCATTTGTAATGTAGCAAAAAGTAATGCTGGACTCAAACTATCAAAAATGATTGTTGAATAACTAGTGTTACAACTATCGATAACATATTGATTAACACAGTATTTAGAACATTAAAGTGGCTCAACATGACTTTACTCATCAGTTAAAGGTTCAGTGTGTAAGATTTAGGTGAAAGGGAACTATTGGCATGATGTTTTCATTAGTACGTTTCATTTAAATTGTATGAATTGTAGTTTTCTTTACCCCAGAAAAGACCCTTTATATTTAAATACTTCATATTTACATCGAGGGGGTCCTCTCTACGGAGGCTGCCATGTTTTTTTACAGTTTGAGAAGCGCTTTAATGAAATCTTTTATTTCCCTTTCATTCACCAGCGAGGTGCAGACACACTGCGAGCAGACACAACAGACCGGTGAGTTTGTGTTTGTGGTTGTTTGTGGTGTGACCACGTGATTGACAGAAGGAGCTGTAACAGTTGTTTGTGGTTCTAATGTAATCCTGTCTGGTCCTCTGCAGGTACTCGGGCTCAGGGAGCTCAGGAGCGGCCTCCATGCGGAAGGTAGGAGCGCAAACAGTGGTATGGCTCTGACTGAATTTTTTTTTTACTGGCTCTTACTGATTTTTAAACAATGCTTTCTTTGCAGTACATTTTCATTCTGACTCAAACCCCATTTTTAATGAATCAACAGAGGCTTCACCGTCACATCGTCAGTCTCCTAGCAACCCCATCCACTGTTACATGGAGATCGATTGTGTCCACATAAGAGCTGAACATACAGCCAGACAAGACTAGGAGCAATACCTGAGATTAAACTAATTCAGACCTGTGATAATTAAATTAAAGATAACGCTCAGAGGAGATAAATTGGTTTCCACATTTAGGTTACTGTGACACAAGAAGCCGTCTGCATGCAATGAGTCAGTTATGACTATAAGCAGATATTTATCCTGCTTACTCACATAGATAAATAACCATCAGACTTTTTCACCTTTTAATGTTCACACCATCAGGCCTATTTTCTATAAATTATTCAGTAGTGTATGCAATAACATGCTAGCTTTGCTAACATAATCTTAGTGCAAAATGTGATATTGAAGGAATGGTTAACAAACAGAAATTTTAAATTCATGAGAAATAAAAGGATTTCTTTCTCAGTGGTTGCCGCTATAGCCATAGTTGTTCTGGTACCTATTGTTAGCTTTGTTACCTGACTTTAGATATTGCTATGTAACAGACATTTCTAAATTACTGATATCATTTATATTTTACTACAATGAGACAAAGCATTATAACCTATAACTATTATACAGCTACAGTATAGCCAACTTTTTCTTTTATTTTGTGGACCATTTTAGTTTTCGTTACCCCAGAAAAGGCCCTTTATATTTAAATACTTTATATTTACATCGAGGGGACCCTCTCTACGGAGGCCGCTGTGTTTTTTACATTAGTCCAGACTGGACAAACTAAACACTTCTTTTTCATGTTTGAAAGGAGAGGGTGAGGTGAGGGGTGTTCAGCTGCAACATGCAACTTCAACACTAGATATCACTTAATTCTACACACTGTACCATATAACTGTCAACGTAAAATCCTTTTGATTCAATTCAACATTTTCAGTTATGTAAGTAAAGTAGCAAAGGCAATGCAATGTTGTGATGCAATTCACAACATCTGGATGTACGATCTATTCTGTCTGTGGCAGACAACTTTCACTTCTCCATCACAGGTTGTAGGTCACTTCCTGGCTGCAGCAGTTCTAACACTGTGATCCGTCTGTGCCTGTAATCCTCTCTGCTGTTTGCCTGATAAAATGAAGATTAAAAAGAGAGAGGGGACTGGCTGCTCATGTGTAGTGTGCCCAATTCATCAACAGCATCAACGCAGAAACTTTTGTTCAAACATTTATTTCCTTTTCCCAATTTTAACTTTTGTTTTATGTATTTGTTTTTTGGAGCTTAAATTATTTTCTTTCTTCTCCGTAGTCTTTCCATTACACCTCGCTAAGAACGAAAACCAAAAAGAGAAGTAAAGGTAGGCTCTGTTTCTTTATTTTTCTGTCACTGTGCTACTGTTGTTTGTTGTCCCACACAGCAGAATTCCCAGAGACAGAGACTGTTTTCCAGACTCCCTCTCTGTGTCTCACAACCTCCCAAGGGTTGCCAACCCTTAGTTTTGGAAGCACTGCCATTCAGATTCAGTTGTTTTACCTTAGAAAATATGTCTCGGTGTAAATGTCTGAACTTGAAACTGAACCTGACAGACTTGAAGTGCTGTGACTGGCATGTTCGCTCTGGTGCATCACTGTGAGAGAATGACAACACATCAGAAGCAGAGAGACAGGCTTGATGATACAGTATAACACATTGCTTATGTACGTGAGAAGTCGAGGTTTACAGGACATGATAGGAAACAGTACAGCACAAATGATAACAATGCAAAATAGAAATTTTAAATGTACATATTTGTCGTTATTTATTCTTAATTTTACTTGCAATAATTGATTGTTTCCTTTTTATGATTTTCATAACGAATCACTGGTGTAATACTAAGTTCTCATCGATGTTGCAGATGTGCTGAATCTCCTTCAGTTTTAATGAGTTCAGCATCACATTGCTGTTGCTTCTTATTTACAGAGATTCCAGTCATTTGGATTCGATGAATCATTAAATACATGATCACACTTATACTTATTTATTATTGCTACGACACCGCCAAATGCTCAGTAAATCAGTTTCAGTATCAACATTTCCTTCTCTGCAGGTTCCCTCACTAGTGCCAGTCGAAGAAGAATCTCGTGTAAGGACCTGGGCCACGGCGACTGTGAGGGCTGGTTGTGGAAGAAGAAGGATGCCAAAGGCTACTTTACTCAGAAGTGGAGGAAGTACTGGTTTATCCTTAAAGAGTCCTGCCTCTACTGGTACACCAACCAAAATGTAAGACAACACATTCAACTGTCAAAGTCAAACTTTACACACCTTTTCTGCTTGCTTTTCCATTCAAACCAAAGACATTAAGGGACATTTTGCACATAAAAAATATGAGTCAGCTTATAGAAAATGCTGTGATCATGATATCATCAGGGATGGCTCTTGAGTTGGAATGAAACAAATATTTAACAGAAAAACCATGCTATAAACTAGTAAGCACATAAGACATAGTTAAAACGTAATAACATGAATTTAATGTAACATTTCTCAATTTGTTAATTGTTCTATACATCT